TGGGGAAAGAGAGCTCTGATGTTTCTTTCAAGCACCATCATCATAGAGAAAAGAATTACTGTAATCGCAACACATACAGCAGGTTGGATTTGATTTAAATCAACAGCTCACGATTTAAATAAAAAATTGGGATTTTTTTTATCCACCCGACATACAGTGAAGCCTGCGCTTCAGCTAATGAGGCTCCAGTGAGTTTTCAATTCAAGCCATAAAAAATTTACCCTAAAGCAACGAAACACCATGGAAGCAGCAATATTCAGACACATACAGTATGCAAGGCAGTTAGAGTTAAACAACAGCGCATCTGACAACCTTTAAAAGAAATTTCAGCAAGATAAAAACCTGCAGATAGGAGCACAAAATACACCAAGAAAAAAAGGGGGTAAACCTTACTACTTGCCTGGTAATTAATAGGAAGATAGCACTAATATTACAAAAAGCACATTCAGTGGGAAAGGATCATAGTCCAGCAGCAGAACAAGAGATTGGACATATTATTTTGGGGAGCAGCAGCTGTCATAACCCTCCAGTTGTGATAATTAGCAATTTCAGGAGTTGAAGCTAAGACTTTTTTTTTCTGATTTCTGGACACAAGACAGTCTTAGTATGGTAGGGCTGGAGACCCCTGTGTCAGCCCTACTTTTATATAGCTTGAGTCCCAGCTATCTCAAGGACTGCATCTCCCTTTATGAGCCCGCCTGGGTGTTAAGATAAGAGGCCTTTCTCTCAGTCGCACTACCTTCCCAGGTGTGCTTGGTGGGGACATGGGAGAGGGGACTTCTCTGTCGCTGCTCCCAGACTCTGGAACTCCCTCCCACGGGAAGCCAGGCTGGCCCCATCTTTGCTGTCCTTCCGCAAGCAGGCAGCTGTTCTTTTCAGGAAGGCTTTCCCTTAGTGACTGGCTATCTGAGAGAGGTTTTTAAAGGGACTGTTGTGCCTTGTTGCTTGGTATGTGGTTTTAGTGTTGATTTTGTTTACAGTTTTAGTGTGGCCTTTGCTTGGCTCTTTTTAAATATCTCTATATATCCTGCTTTTAGCTTTTAAATATTGTCTTTTATTGATGTAAGCCTCCTTTGGTCCTTTTTAAGGAGAAAAGTGAGGTAAAAATATTTCAAATAAATCCATCCATCCATCTCTAAGCCCTGCCTGAGATGCTATGCTGCAACGCTGCCACTACATCAATATGGAACACGGAGCGAGTGAGGACAAAGGGCTGATTTGGCATAAGGCAGCCTCCTAGGTTCCCCTCTTTCCTGCTAGGATACTCTCAGAATCAGCGTCCCTCAACTCTCCCTAGTGACAGAAGGCTAGCTATCCACTTCTTCCATATGATCTGGGATCATTGCTGGCTTTCTTTTTAAAAGAAGGTCCAAGGTTGTTCTTGTTTTTTAATTGTCGTTTTATTTGTCTTTCAACAAAAACTAGAAGTTGGAGTAAAAACTGGAGAATTGAGGACAAACAAAAACTTAAAGTGTTCTAACCACATAAGAAGAATCAAACAGATACTGGATTCCCAACTATGATGCACAAGTTTCAAGAAAAGCTAACCCAACATTCTCATACTTCTCTACTTTGGCCTCAAACTGACACATGGCAAGCTCCTTTAAAAAAAAAATGGTGCACATTGTTTATCTCTTGTAGCATTAGCTGATGCTATTCCACCTTTCAGTGTCAAAGTCCCATGACTCTGGCTGACCCTAGATGGCCTGGCAACAGGTTCTACAACAACAACAAAAGATCAGAAAAAGGCTGTGTGGTCTCCAAAACAACACAAGTGCAGGAGCAGGTGATACCTTTATTAAATCACTTTTTAAAAAATCAAACAAACAGCGAGCTTTCAATGATAATTCATCTTCTGGTTGTGCACCAAATTCTTATGGGTAGTTCCAAAAATTATATGCTTTTAGTAAAGTCCCAAATTTCATGGCCATTGTTGGAGTCAGGTTAGCTTCTGTAAATGGATACAGATGCAGTCTGCAAAATGCTTGCAGAGGGGAGGGTGTGGTTTCAAACTTCTCCTCCACCAGCAGTTTGGAATTTTATCACTCAATTCTTTAAATGAAAGGCCACCAAGCACTCTGCATCTTCTTACTCTCCTCCCGTGCCTTCTTTTTGAAACCCAAAGAATTTCAATCATGCATATAGTTGGTGAGGTTGTCTAGATTAGTAAATTGTCTAGATTGGAAAATATCCTGAACTAAAATTATTTACTAGGAAAACTATGTGCCAAAGAGTCAAACCTGTGAATCTTCACATTAGTATCGTTAGGCATATAATTTCTACCTCACTGTTACCAGCACTGCAGAGACAGAAATAAAGGCCTGAATCCAATTTATTGTCCCAGGTACAGCAGACCCACTGAATCCGTGGGATTTATGTAAGTGCTGACTCACCACTTAGTAACTGATTCAGAGTTTGATTTACTCAGTCTACTCTGTTTGGGAAAAACAATTGTGTTTGGGCCAATAATTTACATCATTAAAAGCACGTGCTGCAAGTTTCTTGCTTTCTCCCCTTCCTCACCATCTCCTTTTCTCTGGGTGAAGATGAATTATCATTGAAAGTCAGCTGCCTGCATTTTTAGTGGTCTAATAAAGGTATCTTGCATTTGTATTATTCTTTTTAGAATGTAATTTAAGGTCTGTCTTGTTTTTGTCAGTAGGTAAGGCATCCTGAGAGCTCTTCTTCCTATAAAGCAGGGAAGAATATTAAAACCAAACATTTACACTGAAGTCCCTTTGTGACATCCAGAACATTAGACGCATGCTAAAGTCAAGGGAGGGATGCCTTACATCTTCAGAGGTGAATCAATGTTATTTTGTGAATATACGCTGCCAACTAATTTTGCACAGTCTACACAGTTAATCATACGTGCTATAAATATTCTATTATTGACTTCAAATTAATGTACTGTACTGTGTTCTATCACTCTGGTATCTGTTTCCCACAGTGGCTAAACTTCTGTTGTTTGCTTAGCAAGTCACAGTACAGTGGACCCTCTACTTACGGAATTAATCCGTATTGGAACGGTGGCTGCAAGTCGAAAAGTCTGTAGGTCGAATCTCCATTGACCTACAATGCATTGAAAACCGATTAATCCCATAGCTGGCAGTTTTTATTCTATTTTTGTTCCATTTAGTTTTTTTTTCTGGTCTGTAAGTCGATTCTCTGGCTGCAAGTCGAATCTAAATTTTGCGGCCACAGAAGTCTGTAACTCGAAAAGTCTGTAAGTCGAGCCGTCTGTAAGTCGAGGGTCCACTGTAGAGTTGGCCCAATGAGACAGTGAGGATTTGGTGAGTCGATTCCTCTGTACATTCTACTGATTCAAATGGGCTTGCTCTAGATGTGCCTTATTTCACTAAGCAACAGGATTTCAGCCACTCTATACACTCCAGGAAGCCAAATGCTGAGCAGCCCTCCAGCCTTCACTTCCTGTAACATAGAGCCTGATATTTGCTAACAGAAAGTTCCTCATGAAAAACAACCTTCTCAGATCAGGATGAAGCAGCTGACAAATAAACCAGCCATATAAACCACTGTACAAATTGCACTGGGTGATGAGGGGGAAAAATCAACTTTTCCAGTTCATCAAACATAAGCCTAACACTGATGTTTCACAGTAACACAATAAGGCATTAAATCTAGTAGACAAAAAGGCTGACCTAAATCTTACTACTGTCAAATTTAACAAATAATATAGTGCACAGTGCCTGAGTGGGCTTTTTTTTTAAATAACTCTATCCTGGACATAGCAGATAGATCAGGGATAGGGTTCCTTACTTGTCCATGCATGGGCAACCTGCAGCCCTGCCTCTTTTTATAATCCAGAGGATTAAATGTTAGCTAACAGTGAGGTTTCCCTGACATTTTCAATGTATGATAATGGACAGTCCTGAAATAGGAGCCTGATCGGCCTGACGGCTTATGTATTTAAAGAGAGAGAATAAAATTTGAATCAAGTGAAAAAGTGTAAACTGAGTATTTTATCTGACATTGTTAAATCTTATGAGCAGAGGTTGGGGAAAAAAGTGAGTTACAAGCAATGTAGCCACCTATGACTAGTCACTTCCCACCCCTTTCCTTTGCAACAAAGGTAGAACCAAGTTATACAGTATTTCAAAAGTAATGTGATTAGTACTTTTAGTTCTTCCATAACTGCATTTTTAGAGGCTTTTTTTCCAATTTGTGAGTCCCCCAGCCTTATGAATTGCTTTATTTGTTACTTTTCTATTATTTAAAAAAAGGAAAATAATGAGCAATGGAACAGTCCAGATTTATAAAACTATCCTCAAGTTATTAATGGTGACAAATTACCTGTGGGGCTTGTAGTTATTCTGAACAAATAAATTTCTGAGCTCTGCCTAAGAAGTGTTGTTGTTTTCTTCAGCCTACTTGATAGCTGTAAGGTCAGAGCAATGGCAGAGGCTGTGGGGAATCTAAGAGCAGCCTCCTAAGTCCAAGCAGAACATTGAAACAGGGAACTAATGGTGGTCTCCGTTTACATGTAGCCCAGAAAGGCTCAAAAACATGACACCACCAATTGAAACTTTCCACTTCAAGGAAACACCTACCTATGCAGCAAAACAACTGTTAGCATTCATGCCATCTGTTAATCAGGAGATACAGCTTGTGTCATGCTTATTTTCCTGCCAGTGTTATAAAAATGGGAAGCTGGAAGGAAGCCTTTATTCTGTTGCTAACTGCACAGTAATCTTGGGGCTCCTTAATGTGTGTCTTTCATCAAACCCTCCAATTAGTGCCTAATCAGGTATTTAATATGTATCTGGCTCCTTAGCAAGACACGAAGCTCCTGCAATAAGGATATGAAATTATAGCAGAAATGTTACCAACCTTCACTGTTGATTGCAAAACAGACAAACACAAACAAAATCACCCAGTTCATGAGAAGAACATCCACACTGTTACCCACTGCTTCTCTTTTGTTTTCATAATTCCAAAATGGAATTCAGCAAGAGGCCCATTCAACTGGCCTACCAGACAGGAATGATACCCTTTTAGACAGCAACTGACAGCACAGGTCAAAAGACCGTAAAATATATTCTGGTTGCCCATAACATCTGGAACTGACAATCCTTTCAAGAGATCACATTTTTCTTACCCGTGCTGGCTTCCCAAAGGTAAGGAAAATCTGCTCTTCTCAGTTCCTGATGACCCTTATTCTGGGTGCTTCAAAGGGCAGAAGCACAAATTAGTTGAAGTGGAACATTTTCAATCAAGAGCAGCATCACAGGGAATCAACAGAACTCATAACTGCTACCAGACACAATGTTCGTTCCCACACAGGATTTGTGACAATTTGCAAAGCAAAGTGTGCCACTTATATACTGCCCCATAGTGCTTACAGCACTCTCTGGATGGTTTACAATATACTGTAATTATGAAGGTTACACACTGGCCCCCTCCCCCAGTAAGCTGGGTACCCAATTTTCCTGGAGCTGGCTACCTGGGATTGAACCCAGGTTATAAGCAGAGTTTCACCAACTGTACCACGAAGCTCATTAGATAGAATTAAAGTGTTCAGCTGCCTAGCAGAATGCTTTGATGGACCCAATTCCTATTTTTAAAAAAGTCAGAATGGTAAAACAGGCAGGCCAGGATTTGGCCAACTTACTGATTCTCAGTGATGTAGAAGGGATGGGATATTGTGTAACGAGGGAATCTGAAACATGCCTTGGCATTCTATTGGGCACATCCACCACTCTGCGCCCACCACAACAGGGAAATGTAGCACTAATGCCTCCCCTGCAATGTCATGATCTTGACAATGCAACAGGAACCCCTGGTGTAGACTTTGCTAAAGTTGAAGAGAAAAAGACAATCCGAAATGGGTCATCATAGGTGGCCCACACCAACTGTAGCACGAAGCTCATTAGGTAGAATGTAGGTGTAGACTTCGCTAAAGCTGAAGAGAAAAAGAGAATCCGAAATGGGTCATCATAGGTGGCCCACTGGGGCAACTGGGGCATTTGTCCAACCTTGGAACTGGATACAAGAGGAAGCAGCCATTGGTAGGAACATTTCTAACTTGTGGCATGACGTGTTTTGGACTACTGTGCCTTCTTTCTGCCTTGCCCACCACAGAAAGGACCAGCTGCCATCCCTGGAACTGACTGATTGGGAAGGGCTTAGGTATGATAGAGAGGAAGGCAAGATTCTGGAGACAGCATCATGGAGCTACTCCTGCTGTTATAAGAAAAAGGCCTGCTCATTGATTTGGAAGCTGTTACACACAAGGTAGTCTCATATAAATCTTCTCCTTGTATTTTCTGTTATGTGAAATGGTTTTATATGTATATAATTGTATTATTATTATGTTTTTAGCCGCCTAGAGTGGTCCTAACAAGACTAGATAGGCGGGATATAAATTAAATAAATAAATAAATAAATAATCAGCTACCCAATGTTCACGTTGCGCCCCAGAACAGCATAGGGCTTGTGCTGTCCTAAACTAGGCCTTGGGAGAGCTTCCTGCCACCTTGCAACCCTATCTGTTGTACTTCCATTTCATTCGCATATGCATTAATACTGACTTGACCCACTATAACTAGATCATGCCACTGGTAACACAGAACCCTAGTTGGCATTCTGTGACATCAGAGCAGCGCAGCCAATAGCGCAGGCAGAAATGGTTATGATATAAGAGGAAAACATGTTTACAAGTAGTCTTCTGGCATATCCTGCCAGCAGCTCAGAAGCGTTACCTCAAACTCTCTGATCTCTTTCTGCCTCTTCTCACCTCTACACGGATACCCTCCTTGCAAAAATCCATTATAGCTTGAAACTGATCATTATTTTTCTCACAGAGAGACTGTTTCAGTCACTGAAAATCTTCATTTGCCCAGACAGAAACTGCCAGGATCACATTCCTTCCTAGCTAGTTTGGCCTAAATGACTCACTAGAATGGTAACAAATCTCCCCTAATGGACAGAAGCAACACTGGCTTATTTTACCTGCATGCTACTCCCTAGCAGGATCGGATTTTGCTTTTTAAAGATTACACATTTTCTCTTGCTTATTGCTTGGCCATCGCCTAGGCACAGAAAATTGCCTGAGCTCGGCAATAAATTTTTTTTAGAGAGAGTCATTTTTAAAAGGAGAAATAAATCATGTTCTCCAACATCGAAGCTTAAAAACACTATAAATCCATTAATTACCTAGAATGATCTGAGAGAGACATGTACACACATGCAAACAACTCAGGTATCATAAACCTACAGGGACAGTCGGCCACCATTGTTCAAAACTACAATTTCAAAATTACATTTTATTTACCTAGTGTTACATAGTTATTTTTCAAGCATGTGCAATATATTCAGTGCCTCATCAGAGACATACAGTATTATGTTCTAATGGGGTGAAGCATGTATCATTTCTAATAAAAAATCACACAGAGACTTCTAAATTGATTTCCCCAACTTTTTTTAAAAAAGTATTGTGTAAGAACATTTTTTGCTTACATTAGCAAACAATTATATTTGCTTACATTTAGGTTTACAGCACCCCCACTCTCTGTCTGCGCTTAGCTATCTAAACATTCCCACCTAAGAGTTGGCGGCCACATGTTTCAGCCTTTTACTTCTTTAGACAACCTCTGGACTGGAAAAATAAGTGACATTACTGCTTCCTTGGAAACAGCCCTGGCATAGAAAAGAACTAGCACTGAACTAACTAGTTCAGTTCCTTGTTCCAATACAAGAAGAGAAGGGGAGGAACAAGAATGAATGAATGAATGAATGAATGAGTGGCATAGAAAAGAACTAGCACTGAACTGGCTTGTTCAGTTCCTTGTTCCAATACAAGAGGAGAAGGGGAGGAACAGGAATGAATGAATGAATGAATGAATAGAATGAATGAATAGAATAGAATGAATGTATGAATTTCCAAAATCTTCCCAATACTGGCCATGCTGGCTGAGGCATTCTGGGAACTGTAACCCAAAGCAGTACTTTATTTAGGCTTTATCTCTACTCCTCTCTTGTATTCACACCCACCCACCTGCAAACAGAAGGGAAGCAGCATTGCTCCATCCACAGGATGCTTGTTATTTACACCAGCAATAGCCCAGGTGTAAACACTGGGCCGAATTGGGCATTTGTTGTTGTTTTTCTTGGGCTTTCTTGCATTTGCCTTCACCTCTTAATCACCTCTCTGCTTCCAGAGACTTGGCTTTGTATAGTTCAGCTACAGTCTTCCCTTCCCGTACGGCCCCATGAAATTTTATCTACATTTCTGAAGCTTTGAGTATCAGGCCCTAACACTGAAGACATGTCGGCAAAACTTCTTCTGGGTTCCCCCACTTGAGAGCACAGACAGGGGCTCCACTACACAAGAATGTTCCCCACGCAACAAAAACATAGCAAGCCGGGGAGAAGGTTAGGCTAGAACTCTTCTCTTTTTTTATGATTTCATGAGTGCTGAAAACTATATTTGAGTGTTCCTCTATTAAAAGGCAATAAAAGCTCAATTCACCTAGGAAATTAGTAACATGTTTGCTTCGCCATGGAGTCTGGGAAGATGAAAGCCTTTGGGCCATTGCCATAGACATATTTCACTAAATTGGATTTTTAAAACAAAATATCCCAGAGGCTTAGAGCAGCTTATAATAGAAAGACAAAACTTGCAAGAAAAACACAATACAATATTTCCATTGTTCTGAGGCTCCCCACCACCACCACCCAAAGAATAAAGGCAAAAACCTTCCACCGGTAAAAGCTTTCTTCTACTGGACAAAAGAACAACAGCAGACATGGAGTACCAAAGGCGTGTTAGGTGCGTGGAGAGCACTCTTCCCCCTAGGCTTACAGAGTTCAAACTGACATAGCGGTAACAGAGGACAGGTTTTAATAAAGGGACTTGTGGGTGGGTGGAGAGTAGAGGAAAAGGCAGAGAATCATATTTCTACAGCAGGTCAGGAAAATGCTTTATGAGAGCAAAAGACTTTTGAAAGAAGGATTTCAGTCAGAAGAGGGAATTGGTTTGGCAGAAAGGAAGCAAAGGATTCAGAGCTAAGCACCGCAAGCAGCAACACAGAACGCACAAAGCCAAGAAGAGGACAAAACAGGTCAAGAGAACCCCAAAGAAGATGAGAATCCGTGTACAGACGAGTACAGAAGATGAGTACCGGGGGAGGGGGAAATGGAGGAGAGGCTCTGGGGAACAGTGATCACGTTTGCAATTTCAAGAGGATACAGTAAGTGTGCTCACAAAATGGCTGTCCTACTCTGGGCGGTTTACAACAAAATATGAACGTACAATTTTAAACAAAAAAAAAGAAAAGAAAAGAAAAAAGACAAAATGGCTGCATTTTACAACAAAATATGAATGCACAATTTTAAACAAAAAAAAAAGAAAAGCCTCACCCCAACTTCCCATATGACAAGCATACAAACACTGATCCCAAGATGGCGGCAACAATAACATGCATTCAACAATAAAAAGCTCAGATGATTAGATTAGATTAGATTTAACTGGGAAAATTTCCAAAAGAGCAATGCCTTCTAAATATTAGGGGGGTGGGGATTGCCACACTTCTACTGATAGGATATTCCCTAATGAGGTGGCCACCACGGAGAAGGCCCGGTTCCTAGTTGTAGACTAAGATCAGGAGGTATGGGTGGGATGGGTGGTTGATCTGAAGGAGAGGTGCTATGCCAAGTAGCCAACTCCCAAATCATTCAGGGCACTGTATGTCCTTGAACACCTTGAAGCATATGGGCAGTCAGTGCAAAAAGAGCAGGACAGGGAAGACACAATCATATTTCGATATCGCCAATACAAGCCTGGATGCCAGATTTTGCACCCGCTGCAGCTTCCATTACCACAGTGTTTATTTCTCCCATCACTGGGCAAAAAGGTTTGGGAGATGTTTAGAAAACTGTAAAATGGCACTGCGCCCATCACAAACTTGTTAAGCATAGGAATGTATCATGAGAAAATTGCTATATGTGAACACCAGGATCAGTCACCGTAGCAAACAAACACAGTGAACGCGGAGGAATGCCAGGGCAGGCTGAGGGTGGGCAGGAGGAGGAGGAAATAGACTGCCACTACCTTGCGTCCCACATTACTTTTGTCTGGCTGTGGCAGAGGAAGAGATTCCATCTGGTCCTTCCCGTGGGTGCCCATCCCAACTCCACTCTGATGGTATGTTCAGCTGAGAACAAAGACTGGAGAGGGTGTGCACACCTCTGAGAATTTACACAATCACTCTTGTATTTGCAGGAAATCTGTTCTGTTTACATGCACAAGGAAGGAAATATGCAAATACGTCGAAGAGCATGCTTGAGTCAAACAGATTGCAGACAAATCTACAGAGGTACCACGTAACCCAAAGGCCCAGAACAATTTCCCCAGCCCCCGCACATTGTTCGGGAACAAGGAGCCCTGAACAGAATTGATTCTCTGATGCCTATGAACAACTGCAGCAGCTGGCTGTTAATTTGGGAAAGAGATGCAGGAGAGGCACACACTTCCTTCTCCCTGGGGCTCTCTCTCGTCTCTCCACCCCACTGCACCCCACAGGTTGCAGATTAATTCAATTCCAGCCCTGGGCTCGCAGAAGTCAGATAATAGCATGGCAGCTGCCACCATCCTGAGATCAGAGACAGTAATGCAAAGCTGTGAAGTCAGAGAAGTGATTGAGATGTCTGGTCAGAATAGGAAACATGGAAAGCAGGAAGCACAGCTTCAAGGTGTGTGAGAGAGGTGGTGATGGCAGGAGAAGAGATATAGCTGGAATGGAGGGAAATAAATATACCTCTTCAATACAGAAGAAGCTCCTGAGTTTGTAAAAATTCATATTTTTTGGGGAGTACAAATCCCAGATCCCCCAGACAGCACTCATGCAGATGTACTAGCTAAGGGATTCTGAAAGTTACAGTATAAAAACGGAACTCTTCCAGACTCTGGGGAAAAAATCCAGAATGAAACTGAATGCGGTGGTTTGCAGCCTTAGCTGTAAGTTGACCTTCTAGCCCTTTGCTGGTGTTTGCCACCTGACTTGCTATCTCCATAAGGGCTACGAAAGAAAAGAAAACATGATTTGAACCAAACATTTGGTAGGCAGCCATTAATGGCTGGGATGCCTCTGTGCAACTGCATGAAAGCTTACTTAACCAAACTTCTAATAAATATACAGTCAGAAAGTGGTTGTGTGTCTTGCTGTGCTATGCCATTCCCCCCCCCTTGCACTAGCTGCAAGACCAGTTGTGTGACTCGTCCTGTGATGGAGGAGGGGAAAGTTTATATTATTTCCTTTCACTCTGAATATCTCTGGCTGAAGTAATCAAGGCACCTGGTGGGCATTCAGTCATGAATCCTTACTCCAAAACAAAACAGAACGGAGCCAACCTTGTCAACCCTGTAAGGTAGACCATCAGAATTATCAGGCATCGTCTCTACACACTGGGGTGGAGAATTGGGACAGAAAGAGCAGTGGTTTGTCTAATACCACCTATTGAGTCTGTGGCTCACGACCAATTTCAAGGGGCAACATTTCTGGGAGACGTTACATGACGTGTTACTGGACTTTGACAGGGAAAACAGAGTTCTCAGCCTTGGAATTCTTCTCATGCGCAGCCCAAAATGGCCACTGTCAGTCACAACTCAAACGAAAGATTCCCAAGCCATCACAACTTCCAACTTTCCTCTCTTTACAGAGAGACCTGAATTCTCCCTCACTCTCAACTCCGTTCTCTTTGTCCACATGTTTAACCTTTCTGGAAGGCCAAACCCAGCTTTCAGTATGTTATGGACGAGATTGTTTTAACCTTACGCAACACACTTGCTCCTGCCTGATGTATTTTTACATTTGAAAGGAAAGCATCTACAGAGTACCAAGGCAAAGGAGATCAAACTCCAGTTTTCTTTTCTAATCTAAATGAATGGGTGTACTTATAATTAGCATCTTTTCACCAACACTCCCAGTAAGGTTCCCCTTGACATTTAGTCCAGTCCTGTCCGCCTCTAGGGCGCGGTGCTCATCCCCGTTTCCAAGCCATAGAGCCAGTGTTTGTCCGAAAGTTTCTGTGGTCACGTGGCCAGCGCGACTAGACACGGAACGCCGTTACCTTCCCACTTTGGTGGTATCTATTTATCTACTTGCATTTTTATATGCTTTCGAACTGCTAGGTTGGCAGGAGCTGGGACAAGCGACGGGAGCGCACTCCGTCGTGTGGATTCGATCTTACGACTGCTTGGTCTTCTGACCTTGCGGCACAGAGGCTTCTGCGGTTTAACCTGCAGTGCCACAACTCCCAGTAAAGAAGTACAGTACAGTATCAGATTCGAAATGGTGCTCTGAAGTCCCCTGTGGAAGCCTTTTGTGAGGAAGCTTTTGCCTCTAGCAGCTTGCAGGAGAGCAGTATTTGCCACAAGTCTGGTGTGTCCAATGTTACCAATGCTCCCACAGAGAAAAATGCAAGATCAGCTTTCTTATTTAAGTACTGTATCTTAATTAATCTTGCAAGAAAACTTTAAAATAGCTCATTGCCTAAGGGCAAATCTGGATACAACACAAAATGTAGTCAGATAGCAATATCAGAGCTCTGATTGCAGTTGCAGAGGGAGACCACAGCTGCGTTACAAGGACATCTGCAAGCGGGATCTGAAGGCCTTAGGAATGGACCTCAACAGATGGGAACCCTTGACATCTGAGCGTTCAGCCTGGAGGCAGGCGGTGCATCATGGCCTCTCCCAATTTGAAGAGACACTTGTACAGCAGGCCGAGGCAAAGAGGCAGTCCCGAAACAAGCAAAACCAGGGAGCTGGACAGGGGACAGATTGTATTTGTCTTCAGCGTGGAAGGGATAGACACTCTCAAATTGGCCTTCTCAGCCACACAAGACACTGTTCCAAGACCTCCATGCAGAGCACGTTACCATAGTCTCTTGAGACTGAAGGATGCCTACACGATTGCAGTTGCCCATTGAAAGGGCACTGAGCTCCCTGCCATATTTCACTGGGCTGTGCTAATTTCATCCAGGAACTCCCCTTGCCCGGCCACTTGCCAGATCCATGTCTCCAACCTCAGGAGGAGGCAGCCACCTGTTCCATGAGGTTAAAACCCCGGCCTCTGGAGAAATTGTTAGGTGCTTTCAAAGGCTCACAGCACAGACCTTCAGGACAACAGGTTGCATTACATTGAGATACACTATTTTATATCTAAACATGCAAATTTGGAAATAATCACTAAGCAATTATATCACAGAATTCAAAGCTAGTCAATTTTCCGCTGAAATCACCAGTAAAGAAAGTTCTTCATTTGCTCCCACTCCCTGATCATCCCAAATCAGTAGCTCTTCTCCACACATAATTGATCTGTAATGGCTGTGAAGAGGTATGAAATGCACCAAAATGAAAAATGAAAAAAAGGAAGGGAGGGGAACAACATGACTTTTCAGCAGTAAGAGAACTTTTCTGAGGGAAGTTGCATTCTCTGTGAAGAAACAGGTATGTACTTGGGGGGATAACTCCGGCTTTGTCACTGGAGGCTCACATGAGCTCAGTGGCTCAGAGCACCTGGGGTCAGCTTTGACTGGTCCACCAGCTATGACCATTCCTGGACAGGAGTAACCTAGCCACAGTAATCCATGTTCTGGCAACTTCCCAGTTAGAAAATGACCGGTGAAGTATGCAGCATACCACACCAAAATCCAAAGTCCAGCTGAAATGCATGCAAGACTTCCTCTTCGCTGATGATGCAGCTGTTGTTGCCCATTGTGCTGAAGACCTCCAACAACTTATGAATCATTTTAGTAAGGCATGCCAAGATTTTGGATTAACAATCAGCCTGAAGAAAACACAAGTCATGGGCCAGGGCGTGGACACCTCCCCCTATAACCATATCTTCACAAGAGTTGGAGTTTGTTCATGATTTCGTGTACCTTGGCTCAACAATCTCTGAAACTCTTTCTCTAGATGTCAAGTTAGATAAACACAAAGCAGCTACCATGTTCTCTAGACTCTGTATGAAGGATTAGTGTAGAGAAAGCGCCCCAGAGGAAGACCATAGCTGCTATGCAAGGATATCTGCAAGCGGGATCTGGCTAGGATATCTGCAAGCTGGATCTGCAGGCCTTAGGAATGGACCTAAGCAGATGGGAAACCTTGACATCTGAGCGTTCAGCCTGGAGGCAAGCGGTACAGCATGGCCTCTCCCAATTTGAAGATACACTTGTTCAGTAGACCGAAGCAAAGAGGCAGTCCTGAAACCAGCAAAAATCAGGAAGCTGGACAGGGGACAGATTGTATTTATCTTCAGTGTGGAATCCCGAAACCAGCAAATATCAGGGAGCTGGACAGGGGACAGATTGTATTTATCTTCAGTGTGGAAGGGATTGTCCGTCTCGAATTGGCCTTCTCAATCACACTAGACGCTGTTCCAAGACCTCTATTCAGAGCACATTACAGTCGCGCCCCACTTAACAATTACCCCACATTACGACAAATACGCTTCACGGCGATGTTTTTGCGATCGCTTTTGCGATTGCAAAACGATGGTCTAAATGGGGTTTTTTTGCTTTGCGAAGATCGGTTCCCTGCTTCAGGAACCGATTCTTCGCATTACGACGATCAAAACAGCTCATCGTCAGGTTTTCAAAATGGTCGCTGGGGGCTCAAAATGGCTCCCCTCTGTGCTTAGGGACGGATTCCTCGCTATACAGGCACCGAAAATGGCTGCTGTATGGAGGATCTTCGCTGGACAGTGAGATTTTAGCCCATTGGAATGCATTAACCGGGTTTTAATGCGTTTCAATGGGTTTTTATTTTCGCTTTATGACGTTTTCACTCTACAGTGATTTTGCTGGAACAAATTAACATCGTTAAGCAAGGCACCACTGTACCATAGTCTCTTGAGACTGAAGGATGCCTACTACTACAAGTATGCCGCAGCTAGCCTGTTACAGGAACATCCGTCAGAACCCACATGACACCAATTCTGAAGGAGTTGCACTGGCTGCCAATTTACTTCCTGTCTGGCTTAAGGTCTAAACAATGACGTATACATTCCTAAACAGCTTGGGACCTGGATAGTTGAAGGAGCATCTCTCCCTATATAAACCTGCCTGATCATTAAGATCTATTGGGGAGAACCTCTTCTGTGTTGCACCATTGAGAACAGTTCATTATGTGGAGACATGAGGGAGAGCTTTCCCTGCTGTAAGCATGTGGAATGCTCTCCTCTTAGGGACTTGATTGGTGTCAATGCTGGCACCAAGTCAAGGCTTATTTATTAGAGCCTCTGCGGATTGAGGATCATGGCCTGCATAAGTTTCAGTGCACTGGTTTGAATGTTGTTGATGTTTGACTATTTTAATTTTGTGCTGTTTGGTTTCAAATTCTTTTAAATAAATTGTGTTATAAAATTGTTTTATACAGCTTTGTAACCTGCCCTGAGATCCTGTGATACAGAGCAAGCTATCAATATTTAGATAAATTAAAATAAAATGGTTGGTAAGTAGGGAAAGTCATGGGAAGTAGCAGGGGGAGAGGGGAAACATTTGGCACATTTGATATTAAAAGGGAAACGTTCAGATTTGAGTCCCTCAAAGCCACATATATCAACACCCCAGCTCACATTTACAATTGATAGACAATTCTGATATGCACAAACTACAGTAGAAACTATGGCTACTACAACGCCAGTCATTCCACCTCTGTTATCCAGAACACCTTTGGATACTTAAAGCAATACCTATTAAAGGTGGCTTTGATTTCAATACAGAAAAGCTTTCTTCAAGAACTAACTTTCAAGGAGCAGCTCACAGGCACAAAAAGCAAAATACTAAAACAGTTTTCATATTATACAATGTACTGAATTTCATTAAATGTGCATCATTTTTGTCTCATTTGCTTTACAGAATAACCTTAATTCCCTCCTCCCCCCCCGAAAGTCCAAGAGAATCACCTGCTCAGCCCAAATGCAAAAAAATTATCTCGTGATAGAACCACCTTTTGAAAATCCCATCCCAAGGAATTATGGCATGCCAGTACCAAGTTTATTGCTTCTTTGACACAAGATAGAGATGCAGAGCAGGAAAAGGAAGGAAGGAGGTGAAGAGTAGACACCTACAGGGGGCACAGCATCATTTGTACACAAG